CTCTCTATAGAGAGCTTAAAGGAGAGAGTGCGGGGTCGTTTCCGTCATTTTTCATTCCGCTTATCTTCGTTAAATGTATGTCTGTGCTCGTGAACGTTAGTATTAAGTCAGCTGAAGTTAGCTGCTTATTGCTAGATGGGCTTGATTTCCATCACAATAATGTCCTTGCACTTTCACCTCCTATTACATTAAAGCTATATCGAAGGACAATGGATATGGCAGTTGGAGTAATTGTGAGCTGGAGCATTGCACTGAATTATGAGCAATGTTCCTTGGGTTGAACCACACTTGTGGAATCCATATTGGGGGATCGCACTGTCGCGGGAAGGTGGTCGTACTACAACTGCTGTTAGAGATCAACATTAGTTTGCATGACTGAAGAATTCTTTGTGAAAGGACCCTGGGTTTCAGACTTATTGTGAGCGTTAATTCTTGTGTGCCTTAAGAGTTGGTAAGTGGAAGATTCATTGCGTCGGCCTAACATCTGGACGGAATCGTCGTGTTCTGAGGCCCAAATCCACCGTTTGAGCGGCAAATTCCGCTACTACATTCGGCGTTAGTGGTTGGCGAATGTAGTTTTTGTCTTCCCCCGTTAGAAATGTAGCATTGACTACCGCTCGATGAGAAGTTTGACGCTAAGGGTAAGACTAGCCGTGGCAAAATAACGGATAGCATACTCGCCCGGAATCCGTGAGCAGTGGGCTTGAGCCTCAGACTGGGTCAAGATTTTTGCCCATAACTTAACAATTTAACGATAACTTTTAGAGCGCAAATCGCGGCCTTAGCAGTTATCATATTGATAGAGCAGCTACCAAATTCCGACAACGGCTTCACCCTCGCCAGCATTAGCGGGCTACTTCGGCTAACTGTAACCAATTTACGCAAATCTGAATACGGCTTCAGCTGTTCTCTACTGGTAGAAGCCGGAACCACTTGTAGAAGATTGACTTCATTATTCTCCTTGTGACAAACCGGCCACCAACTTGCGAATCTCTCCCCAATCCTTCAACGAGGCATTGTATCAAAAAACGGAGAAATCGGTCGAAAGGCCAAACTACAGGGGGGAAGTCACTTCGACCGAGTCACATATCAGCAAAGTTTTCGCTGCCCAGAGAGAAGACGTGGATACGAGTACCAGGGCGGAAGATACCCAAGATGTTCCTCGATAAGCAGGAGCTGGCTCTCGCCCATCACCTTCATGTACACCAAAATATGAAGTCATCTCCAGTCGCAGCCTGACTGGAGAAGACCTTTGGAATTCATGTCACCTCCAAACAGCTGCGAAACTTCTAGTATGGAGTCACCATGGATAGCTACCTGGAGACCAGTACTCTCGATCTGGATGACCTCCAACATCGAGCAGCTCCGACAACGTCGCCACTCTAGGACATCATCTTCACCACAGTCGCCAAGGCGCGGGTTGATGATGGACTGGAACCTGGAATGGAAAGACCAATATTTTCTTCGTGGACCCCGGACTGAAGGTGAGCGCTGGCGGTTACATCGAGCAACTCGTGAAGAATATCCTCCTCACATGTCGTCGCCCGTACCTTCTTGGAAACTTTGTACTGCTACAGCATTGGGTGCCACCACATGGAATCGAAGGGCGTTGGAGAAACCACCTGACCTGAATCCCCTCAATTACCCGGTTCGGGCGGAGTTCAATAGGGTGGTCTACGGTGGCGGAGAAATCGACTATCTCGCTGATCTCAGGCACCACATCGCGGTCGCGTGCCAGAATCTCTCGATGGCGCTCGTCCAGAAGGCTGTGGCGGAGTGTCATGATAGTATTTAATATGCTTAATATGGTGGTAAAAATGTCCGATAAGAATTTAATAAAGTGTAACTTATAGCGCCTCGAAAGTCAATGAAGAAAAGTGACTTTTTTTGCTCTTCCCCCTGTATTCACACCGCTTTGTTATGATCACACCCACACAGCCTAGCATCAAGCGTATGAAAAGAGATCTGCGCCAGTAATTTATTATGATAAGAGGAACAGAACCTCCTCGAGCATTATTTCTTAGCCATGATGAGGACAAAGAGGGTTAAATGCCCACGGTTTCCGATGGAACACAATGACGTGGTGTTTACGGCAGCAGTTACCTCCACTGGACCTAATACTTTCTCATTCATTCGAAATATATATTTACCAGCCTAATAATTTATATGGGAGAAAGAATCTATATGTTGCAATGTATCGCTTGAAGGAAAAAGAGAACCTGTCATAACCAAAAAACCCTTGGTAAACGAAAGCATGGAGGTCCCATGTGTTGGATGAAGGCGTTTATCCTCAATCCACGCACATGCGCCCCCTCGTGATCTTAGCACCCTACATGAGACTACCAAGAGATGAGCGAAATGAAAGACGAAGACTGAGGGCAATCTGAAGGCAGCCTAACTGCCTCAGCAGTAGGACAGACAAGCATACCCCGGATTCAAATCTCGAATCGGGTCCTATGCGAGCTAACCAAAGTTTAGCAAAGTTGTCATCTTACACAGTATATGAATGCATGGCGCATCCTAAAAAGGGGTCAGTTAAGAGCTAAGGTTTGCATGCCAATGACTATTACATATCTCAAGGACGTACTGATAAGGATCCACTGATACCTACAGAAATCTTTCGCTTTAACCTCCTGTCAGTTAACAAAAACTAGGGTCACTACTGAGAAACTGTGTCTTTTCTCTGATGCCGAATTCCGATGGCGGAACTAGAACAATATTAGGCTACTTCTGAAGAATGTCTTGAAAAGCTGGTCTTTCATCGATAATAATTTGTAATTAGTAATGCTTATAATAATTGGTAGGCAAATAATTTGTCAAGGTCACGGTACCATCTATGAGATTCCATCCACATGGTATCACATATAGAGTGCCGTGGGGTCGCTGTCCGCCTGATGGGTAGAATCGATACCTGACCTGAGATACCTCACATAATATGACACTGGGGTAACTGGCAGGTCATTGTGCTGGACAAATGATAACTACAATGAGTTCATTGAAAATAACCGTATACAGAATAAAATAAAGGATAGAGTCTTCATCGTTGGGACACGGCACGCGCCTATACTCCAACTTAGGCAGCGTTCATACTTGTAGCGCTACAGCGTCGCGCTACAGCGTCGCGCTACAGCGCCGCTTCGCAACGTACTGCAATTTCCAAGATAGGATGATTACAGTCTTATGGATGTATCTACAGCACTCTGCGGATGCTGGGTCGTGTAAGCGGGCAGGTGGCCTGGGTTTGGCCCGCCATTCTTCACCACCTTTCAACCTAACCAACCACTTTACTGCTTGCACGTTTCAACAAGTGGCTTTAGTGGAAATAAGTTGGTGCGCTGCGCTAAACTCACCCCCGCCTCCTCCACTTCACCAGTCCTATCACCAGCAGTGTACCAGCGCTCTCGGAGGCGGGTTTTCGGGAAATGGTAAGATGGTCGTAAAGGTGATCGAAGCGGGAGGGGGGGGGATCGTATTCAGCGAAAATTGTCTCCAACGGCAGAACGTGCCCTGATCCGCAAGTTGTATAGCCAAACCTGAAGTGCTTTATAACGGCGGGCTTCGGCATCCCTGTAGTTCCAGAAGTGAATATGTAGCAGAGTGGGTCTGCAAGAAATGAATTATATGAAGAAAGGATAAATTACAACGACTTTTTCCACTAAGGCGAGGAACAGCAGGGCGCACATGGTTACTCGTGCAATCCACAGTTCACTTGCGTGCATATTCAAGGTTCCCTCCAAGCATATTCTACTCTATTTTGTGTTTTTTTCTTACGAATCAGATGCGACCAATTCCGCACGGTTCTCGAGCTGTCCATTATACCCCGTCTACTTCGCAGCTCGTTATTCTGGTTCATACCACTTACCTTGAAATGACATGCGGCGTTGAGATGTGGGTTGCGAAGATGGCTGTTCTTGAAGAAGTCTTTGAATTGGTTTGATATTAGGCTCGTTTGGACTTCCTCGCGAGAATATTACCAACGGCCGCATCGAAGTTGTGCCCGATTCAATCATCTCTACCAGTGCTGAAAGTTAGTGTGAGAGAGTTTAACTTAGAAGTTGTATGCGAAATAATTTTGACGGGATGGTCACCTTGCTGCAGTGAAGATGAACAGAGAATCACAGAAGCCCTTGAGGATGTCAACGATTGTGCAAGGGCTTCTTTGCGAAGGTTCGTATTGATCCAAGCGGAGATCACACCTATCTATGGAAATGTTTCAAGAGATTCATTTTAGTATATTGAGTGTCGCCCTTATAAACATTCCAAAATGATAAATCTATCCAGAGGAAGGAAATCGTATTGCTTCGATCTCATGAAATTTCTAGTAGAGAGAAGAAGTTGTCAACAGTTGTAGCTCTACCTTCGCACAAGCAAGCCAAGCAGCAACAAAGTCGACTCCATTTTCCATAAAAATCGCCACCACACCACCAGGCTGTACTTTGGAGTTTCTCTGGAATACATTATTCGCTAGGTTCACTATGTAGCAATACTACCACTATCACACGACCATTGTGAAGGGTTACGGCAATCCTTTCAAATTTGGTGAATTCCGGGGCAGAATTGGGCTTTGAGCGGAATCCCATGTTACAAATAGATGTGGTGATACGCATAAAATGTGTATATCTGGACCATAAATACTACGTACGTACCTCATGAGTGTGTGATGGTAGGGACTACGGGACTCATATCCTAGGCAGCGTTCAGGCTTCGCGGCAGCGCTTCGGTCTCGCGTTCGATGAGAACGATGCGTCTAACGCGCGACTGAAGCGCTGTCGTCGCGAAATCTGAACGCTGCTGTAGGAATGAAGGACTACGTGACGTAATGAAAGGTGGCACGTCATCACGCACGCGAACCGGGGTCAAGTCGCGGATCGGTTCCAACTTGACCGGATATCCTCCGTGGTATGGTATGAGATTCGTCTGGGAGGATAAGGACACTGACTTCTACATCGATGCCCTCGCAATCAAAAACCACTATGATTCTGAATTGATACGGAATGCGTGTCGCATCTCGAATAACGGACTATCAAAGGCGAAATCTTGACTTTTTAAACCTTAGGAATGACCGCATGCTGATTATCGAACTTGCATGGCCGAATCGATCCCTACACATATCTCCTAAGCAGGGCACATCAACGTTGTGTAAACCTCAAAAGGAGTCGTATTTGGTGGCCGGAAGAGGGCGTCGTACTCTATACCGATTCCAACGCGCTATATTCCCTCCTTCCTAGTCGGTGGCTAGTTGGCGGCGCGCGACAAAATTACTATTTGTCTGATAGCGCGATCGAAGGTGCCTGCTCCATGATGTTCCCTGCCTCCAAACAGTGCGCATGAGCTGTTCGATGAACAACGACGGTGATAGCATGTGACAGGTCGATGGAACGGAATGACTTTCTACGGTGTAAAGTGATATCATAGGGGAGGGGGCGCACAAACAAACACCATGACAAAAGAAGTGGCAGAAAACTCGGTGACGCTTCGCCAAGCTATGTCAAGATTCCAACAAATATTCTCAGTGAAGCAAGGCTGATTTTTCCTGGAAATATTCCCTTGTTCCTAAATATGGTTCGCTTCAATGCTCCAGCGCTCCTAGCCGTCCACTTTCTGGTACTGCGCAGGGTAACTCGCGGCATTCTTTACTGGGAAAACCCTAGCTCTTGAACTGCGTTCGACCACTTCATGCTACAACGTGGCCACTCAATGTGGAAATGGTGTCATTTTGCAGTGGGTATGTCGACACGAGCTCGCAAAGATGCCTGTCACCCCACCTTTCTTTTACCTCAGGAAAAGAGCTCCGAAAACTTATTGTCATATGACAACAAAGGTGATTGAACGTACCTGGATCATGTGAGCATATCGACAGGCTAATTGGTCTAGTTCGGTGAATGTAAACGATTTCCCGAGAGTCACATCATAGATTGCTTCCTTAAGTTCGCATACGATTGGCGCTTTCAACTTTTCTCATGCTATATGACTGACCTTTGTAGGGTTTTTCTTCACAGTATCTAGGAATATCTCTTGTATGCCTCTGTTCCTCCAGAATGCTAGAGCACATCGCAATCGTATCCTTATAAGGATTAGTAGTCCTCTTCAAAAATGCTTCATAATGAGATCAAAATTAGGGATCTTTTTTTGCATATTCTAATGAAAAGAGAGAAGATAGATTCTGACTTGAAGACACACGGCAAATGGAGCCGTCATAGAAACATTCCACATCCACCGAATGGTGTAGGGAGTAGTTAGGACGAATGACGGCTTCAGCACTTAGGATCCTTATTGGAATCCTCCCCTCTTCCTTTTGCGTATGGGACACGATCACTACCATTCACGGTCCACTGCCGCGATATCTCTTGCTCTCCTCATTTACACAAGGACGCGTCATACTTTCATGCGATAGCAAGAAAAACAGCAGCGCGGAAAGAAATCTCCCTCGACTCAGATAATCGTTCAGCAGATTCTGAGGGAAGATTCAAGTTCAGCCACCCCCGTCCCCCCCCCCCCCTCTCCCCGCAAGACTGCGGTGCACGTCACACTGCAAATCGTGGGACTGACCTGTGAGCCTTCGCTGGTGAGACATTTTCCATCTATCAACTCCTACCTCGCTACCAAGGACTTCAAGTCGCTGAATGTGTCTTCAAACCGATTAATGTTTGTCAATTTACCTGAGATCCCTCGATGTTGTTTGCGATACTCGCTGAAGATACCCTGATCTGCGGCGTAGTATGTAATATAATATAATCATTGAAATTAAGGAACTGGCCGAAATTGTAGCAAGTATTATGACTGACCATGGTACCATATCTGAAACAGCTAATTTCAGCAGCGATTTTGAATGAAGAGGAGAACAGGGACAAGACATGGAA